GAGAGTTCAAGCTTTTGATCAATGACATACATCAAAACCAAGATGAAGACTTTTTTTATAAAAGAAACAAGATCTAGGGAAGATAACATTCTACTTTCTATCCTTGTTGTAGCTTCTTTGTATTTGTAATACTAAAGAAATAAAAAACCAACAAGTAGTGGATTCCACTCAAGAGCCTTTGTTTGTTGACTTGTCGGACAAGACATTATGATTGTCATAACCTTTAAGATAACGTAATCAAGATAAAGATCCTCAAGAATAATATGTTCATTTTCAAATAAATGGCAAGATACAATGTGTTTGGTATTATGACCTTAAAAGAGATTCTTGATGTTTGTTGTTTTTACTACAGGTAGGAATAACTCCTAATAGTGTTTCAAATATTTTATTTAAAGGAAGTTATGAAGGCCTCAACAATGATCAAATAATTGGATAGTCTTCATGCCCTGGTATAAGATACTATTGATGGTTGAGAGGTCCTATCAACCATCTTTGAAGAAAAGAAAGATCAAAGTATTTGGCAAATACAATTTATCACATCTTAGATTTTTTCAACATATAATGACCATTCTTCATGGAACTTATTCCTAGAAGAGAAGATAATGTCAATAACATATATATGTAAACCAATTATTATGTATATGATTAAATAAAAGTAAGTAAAAGTAGATTAATCCTATAATATCTTCTACAGAAGCTCCCTAAAAGCTTCATAGATATTGTTTTGACTTTATAAGTATCTATAATTAGTTTTTTAGATTAAAAATATAATCAACAAGTTAGCCATGTGTCACACATATTAGTAGCTTGAAGATCAAGCTTACTATTTGGCACACACATAGAAAACTTGCCTTTTGAGCTAAAGCATGTGTATTACAAAGTCAATACATATTACAGATCCTATAGAACATTGCCATGTAGCTCTTGGTTAGATAGTATATATAGTAGTAAGAGTGAAGCCTTCTTCACTCTTATCAACTCCTTTCTTGCTTCTAGTCTAGATTCAACAGTCTATAGTTTCTTTATCTTTTAAGAATAGTCATTTTAATTTTCTTTTAATATACATACTTCTTTATTTTTATTTTGTTATTCTTCTTTATTTACTTTCATCAAATTCTTCTCTCTAATATGGCCTCACTAATGCTCCAACCTCTTTCATGGGTCACATGAACAAATTGTTTCAAGATCTTTTGAATAAGTATGTAGTTATCCTCATTGATGATATCCTTGTATATAGTATAACTGCTAAAGAGTATGAACAATACCTACAAGAAGTATTGTACTAGCTACAAGATAGTCACTTCTTTTATAAGCAATCAAAATGTAAACTTTGAAAGTCAAAAGGCATCTTTTAAGGGCATGTCGTGTCCTACAAAGGCATGCAAATGGAATAAGATAAGATGAAAATAGTAGAAGATTGGCCAACTTCTAAGGATGCTTCTGAAGTTAGCTCATTTTTAAGACTTGCTACATATTATTGTCATTTTGTTCAACAATTTGCATACATTGTTGCCTCATTAATAAACCTATTAGAAAAAAATACATCATTTGAATGGAAATCGGAGCAATGAAGTACCTTTGATAGGTTAAAAAATGTACTCATTATTGCTCCAATATTGCAACCGTATGATCTCAATCTTCCTTGTACATTTGACATTGATGCTTTTGACTTTGCTATTGGAGTGGTCTTTCAATAAAAGTTTGGTAGATGCCTTGAATATGTCGCATATGAATCATTCAAGCTTAGAAGGGTAGAAGACAATTACTTTACATGTGATCAAGAGTAATTAGCGATTGTACATGCTACAAAGGTATGGCAATACTATTTTTTGAGGAAGCCATTAATTTTTGGGATCGACCATTGACCCTTGTTATAAAATTTACATTTGAACAATATAAAATCATAACATCATTATTGAGAAGAATAATTACATCTTTTTTATATTCAGCTTGAGTACAGGTAAGGATGATAACATATTATACTAGATAGCTTATTACGAACACAAGCCTTAAAGGCTAGATTGAGAGACAAGGTAGAAATCATTGACATTAGTAGTTTCATTTCAAACCTACCTAAAGAGACAAAATAAAAAGAAGCTACGCATTGAAATATATATTTCAAGATAATTAGTAATCAACTAAAGGTAGATGATACATAATATCAAGACTACAATCTTAGTAATGGCTTGCTCTATTTCAAGAAGAAAATTTATATACTTGACAATGTTATACTCCGGATATGCATACTTTAAAAGAACATGACATTCCAATATTTGGACATCTAGGACAAGTAAAGACTCTAAAATAGATCTCAAGAATATGGTTTTGGGCAAGTTTGGATTGTGATGTTCAAACTTTTGTGCGCTCTTGCAAATCATGTCAATATAATAAAATACACAACGTAGCATCTTTTGGACTATTGCAGCTAATTCCACTACCTATGATACATTGGAAGCACATGACCATGGATTGGATTATGTGTTTATCACAGACATCTCATAATCACATCGCAATTGCCATCTTTGTCGATCGATTCTATAAGCAACTTTACTTAGCCCCAATATGCTCAGATATTGATGCCCCAGCATTGGCACAGGTCTTTTTTGATATTGTCTTTCATCACTATGGATTATCTTGTGTTATTGTTTCAGATCAAGATCTATGCTTCACAAGAAGCTTTTGATAAGTCTTATTTAAGCTATTAGATATACAACTTATCATGTCTATAGACTTCCATACCAAAATAGATGGTAAAATAGAACGTGCAAATCGGTCCTTAGAGGATATGTTGTGAGCATTTGTGATAGTTCATCATAATGATTGAGATGAATACTTAACGCCTTTGAAGTTTGCTTATAATGATAGAATTCAAGTAAGTGCTAGTCATCTACCATTTTTTCTTAACATCAATCAACATCCGATTATACTTACAACTTTCCATCATCTCATCAACATCAACAACTCAACAACGAATGAATTTATACAATGGCTTTCAATGACTTTATAAGAGATACGACATTGCTTCTCTACATCACAAAATCAACAAAAGGAGTATGTAGATAATCATTGGCAACATAAGACTTTTCGAGAAGGTGATCAAGTCTTACTCTCTAATCCCAACATGCTACTTGCTACATCAACTCAAATCCGAAAACTAACACCTTGATGGCTTAGACCATTCCGCATTTTTGTAGTAATTTCTTATGTTGCATATAGCCTTAAGCTTCTGCCACATATTCAGGTCCATCTAGTCTTTCATGTTTTCCAACTGAAGGAATTTCATACTGAGCCAAAGCGCTTTTTGCATCAACACCAACTACCACTATTACTAATTGTAGTTGATGACTAATAAGAATATGAAGTAGACAACATTTTGGAGCATCACTACCTTTGCCATAGTAGTGGATGTCAACAACTATAATACAAAGTTCTTTAAAAAGGTTATTTTATCTACAATGTAATATAGGAACCTGCATACAACCTCATCCATTGCCAAGAGACAATTTGGAGATATCATCATGAGCAAAATAAGGATGTTCTATATTAGTGGAAGAAAATAAATTATAACAGGATATAAATAAGATATTTGTATTATTAATACATAAAGATAGACACTTGGAACCATATTTAAGAAATTATGGAAGCTTTTAAAATTAAAAGTAGATAAGTAGACCAAATAGGATCTACCATAAAAAATTCTAGAAAAGACTTAGGATGGTAATTTAGGTAGGGCCTATCATAGAACCTTCTAGAAGAAATTTAAGATGGTTATCTAAGTAGAATCCTATCATTTAGGAATATTTTAGAAAGTCCAGGGTAGTAGAGTAAAGAATAAATAAGATTAGCTTCGGCCTTTTGAGGTATCTAGTTAGGTATGGCTTTGAACCTTCTCTCATAGTGAAGTTTGGTTTTTCATCTTCTTGTTCAATTTTGTTTTGTTATATTTCTGTTTATATAGTTTTGTCTTTTGAGTCCTATTCTATTTAGTTTTTTTTAGTTTTATTTTGGTCCATTTTGTCCTACTTTGTAATTAGGTTTTATGTTGCTGTAGATTAGAAGAATCTTAAACTCTCAAGATAGACTAATCATGTTTCATCTCCAAATCAAGAAATGATTAATTTTGGAGGATATGAAATGGATGACTGAGATAAGAAACAAGAGATGAGAGTAGAGAACAAAGAATGAGGGACATGGAACATAGACTAGAATAGATAGAATTGATTATAAGATGGTAATGTGGGGTGTAGCTTTAACAATATTAAGGTGTGGTTTTAACAATTTCTTATATATATATATATATATATATATATATAATATGCATGGAAACAAAAAAAAAAAACTTTTGTGATTTTATTCTATTACATATTATATTATAGAATCAAAGTCTCTTTCAAATAATTATAAATATTTTCCTTAATATCTCTAATATAACCAAAGTATATCTTTCTTGTATATGACAAAGAATAAAAGTTAAATAAGGCACAAAAATATATATATATATATATATATATATCTTTTATCAATCAATATGATTATTTGCTTTCTTGAATATAATTAACATCCAATTACAGGAAACATGAACACATACTTAAATATTTGAAGTAATTAAGGATTTCCCTAAAAAAAAAAGACAAAAAATAATTTAAAAATTAACTAAAATTTTCAACTCTCCATTTCTATCCTCAACAACAATAATAATAAAATAAAAAAATAAAAAAGTTTTTAATTCACAACCTAATCAAATTTAAAGTTTCTCTTTAGAGTTAAAGCCATGAGCTCAGCCCACTGAAGTCAAAAAAATTAAAATAAATCCACCCTCGATCGAAATCCATGGCCAGGTCTCGCCAAGTGGACAAGCAAGTCCTCACGCAGCAGGAAGCTTCTAAGCAAGTACTACGTACAGAAAGTAGATAAGTGTAGACAATGGATGACATCAGTCGAATAGCTTCATTCGTTATGCCTCCGACCTTATTGGGGGGGGGGGGGGGGATGGGAAGGTCTGCCCATGGTGGCATGAAAAGCCCCTTTCCACTTGGTTGTTGCCTCTTCTTCTTCTGATTCTGCGCATCAATGCTCTCGCTTTGTTGCTGCTGATGTTGCAAAACTCGAATAGAATCATTGAATCCTCGCTTCAGGAATTTGGGTTTCTCACGCACTGGTGAGACGCACTTTGCACCGCTGGAATTCCCTCTGCGTGTGTTTGTGTGTGTGAGTGTGTGTGTTCTTTTTTTCTACATTTTCTACATTTTCTACTTTTACGTTGCCTTGCGTTGCGTATCTTGGTATAGAATTACTGCGTGTTTGAGGGGGGTTTTGAGTTGCTTTTGCCCTTTCAACTAAGTTTGTTTCCCGGGTGGGTTTCGTTGGTAGAGTTCAGATGGTTTGGGTATATGCTATGAGCGACTCGTCTAGTGATTTGCAAGGGTTGTGTTGAGGTGAGGTGAGGTGAGGAATTGGCGACTTCGTCTTGGTTAATGGAGCGCGCGTAGATTTTCATGCGATTTTTCTTGGTTTTGTGTGGCGGTATATCCTGGGAGGAGCTTGTGTAATTGGGAATTTGTGAATTCTTAGCATGTGTTTTTTGATTGCTGTATAATGAGTGTTTGAATTGCAGGTCTTAAGCTCCAAAGTGTTACAAGAAACACATGAACTAGGTGGTCACAGGATGGTTGATACTGAATATGAAATTGCAGTTGGTCGTATCTAATTATGTTGGCATCCCTGCTCTTGTTTGGTAGAAGCGTATTAGGCACTTCGCGATTTCGCATGATTTTTGGAATTTCTCTTCACATTTCTTTGGCTTTTGAACTTGCTGCTGCAGTTGCAAAAGCGATATCTGGAGAAGAGGCATGTGCGAATCCTTCTGTCGTTACGCTTCTGGAACCTTTTTTAAACCGTAGAATCGGGTTTTGTGGAACGGAACAGTCTAGTCACAAATTCTGCTCGTGACAAGTCTGTTACTATCAGAACGAAGCTGCCGGCAAGATGCCTGCAACCAATCACATGGAGAGGCATTTCACGGCAGGGCAGATAGTGCACGACATCGTGATCGGCATGAGTGATGGCCTCACCGTGCCCTTTGCTTTGGCCGCTGGATTGTCAGGAGCTTCTGCCTCCTCTTCAATTGTGGTTACTGCAGGTCTAGCTGAAGTTGCGGCTGGGTCAATTGCTATGGGTCTTGGCGGGTGGGTTTATGTATCCTCCATGTTTCCTTTCATAAAAGAATAGAAAGGTATCCGATTTTTTTTATAATTCAAAAGGTGTTATTTTCTTCGAACGATGGTATTGTTTTCGCGAAAGAGTAACGATGGTTAAGCACAAAATAGTGCACCTAATGTGGAAAGTAGCTGAGTGGTGTTCTAATTTCTAGGTTGAACTAAGGTTTGAAAATCAATGGCAGGTACCTTGCAGAACGAAGTGATGCAGATCATTACGAGAACGAACGAAAGCGTGAAGAAGCTGAGATAGTTGAGGTGCCAGACACTGGTAAATTCCTCATAGGAGCACAGTTTGATACAGTTTGACTTTGAATTAAGTAGCCATTTTCCGATTGTAAGTAGCCAGTCGCAAGTTAAGCCGTATATATCGTAGCAAACCGAGTTTGATATGCATTGTATTTTTGTATATCATTCTTTGTACAGCTCACCTATTTTTCTCTCCCTACCTATCACCGGCTGAATTTGAGATATTTGTCGCTAAGACTTGATTTTATGGTATGATATTGCGTCTCAGAGGCAGACGAAGTGGCAGAAATCCTAGCAAGCTATGGATTAGAGCCGAATGAGTATTGGCCTGTCGTTAATGCCCTGCGAAAACGACCAGAAGCTTGGGTCGACTTCATGATGAGGTTTACTTTGATTACAGCTTTGTCGTTTACTGTGTTATCTTCAATTGCGACTGTTGTTCATCGAATTAAACTTCATAGAACGTAAGAATGTTTTAAGTTGTGTAATTTTGATACAAATTGTTGAAGAGTAATGTTGAACGTTCTTTTTGTAGATTTGAGCTTGGATTGGAAAAACCGGATCCAGCGAGAGCACTACAGAGTGCTTTGACTATAGCTGGGTCCTACATTGTAGGGGGGCTGATTCCTCTTCTACCATACATAATAATACCACAGGTTGCTAAAGCCTTGAAGGTGTCTGTACTCGTCACGATATCAGCGCTCTTCGTTTTTGGTTACGTGAAGGGCCAATTTACAGGCCTCCGACCTGTGTGGAGTGCATTTCAGACAGTTTTTATTGGGGCTCTGGCATCAGCGGCTGCATTTACCATCGCCAAGGCAATTAGTGCGTAAGTATCAGATTCGGTGTACATTAGTTGCTGTACCAAGCATATTGAAATGAGACGCAAGATATAGCTAGCACAGTGTACCAGGTGAGGATACAGCGAAGGATGAACAACTCGGAAAAGAAAATTCGAGTGTGCTACACTTGAGTTCCAATGGAATTGATGAATTCTCTTACGGCTTTGCACATCTTAATTACTGTATATTGGCTGAATGCAACGAACTAGACAGTCTTTTCTCTCACAGCTTAAAGCCGACCAACCAGTCATTTACATCAATGGGTCACCAATATTAATTGTGTTGTTGCAGTGAGATCTGGATGTATGGAAATCCAGAATGTACACCATCTTAACCATTAAGAAGTCGAACTTTTAAGTCCAAACACTAAGGCACTGATTTACAGCGTATACAAGGAGCAACTTAGTCACATACTTTTCTTTTGTTGTTTATAGCGATGGCCCATTCTCATTAGCACCTACTCACTGGCACATCAATTGGAAGCTGCTGGCCAGGATTGCACATCAACTGCAATTTCTCTGATTGGAACATTCTATTGAGCCACTGCAGACGAGGATGTTGCGGAGGTCTTCGAAGCCTCCAAGCCAAGGGATTCAGCAATGCTCCGAACAGCAGCTACCATTCCAATTTGGTCGTTCAACTTGTTCACTGCAGATCCAACGCCCTACATCCGCACAAAAGCTTCCATTTAATGTTCTGGGAAAACACTGAACTAAATGAAAAAGAGGTAAAAAATTATGGCCGTAAAAGATTCTTTAGTTGAAGTGAAACACGGATAAAGAGCTCATTTTTACCACGCCAGCAGCACCAGCTCCACAAGCCATAGGGGCAGTCACAGCACTGATCCCCGATGCGCACATAACAGGGATATTGACTGCCCTGGAAATAGCATATGCCGCAGCCAAAGTGGGAGAGGCCTGCATCAAGTTTCACAAACCCATTTAATTTTTGCACAATTTTTTTATAACATAGCAAATAAATAGAATTGAGTTTCCGCCATGCACACCATCCACAAACTGAGTTATACCTTTTCAATGAGCCCTTGGATTCCAGGGCTGGTGGGTGCCGAGCTTGTACCACCTTCAGTTTGGATGATATCAGCACCCAATTTTTCCAGTTTCTCAGCAAGGTTCACCTGAGTTGTGATTCATATGACCGACAGAAATGTTATAATTCGAGTGGGAAACGGAGTTCAACTCGGACGAACCAAATGGAAAAAAAAAGAAAAAAGATGAAATAATTTGAACCATCTCTTGGTTTGTTCTCCTCGCAGAGGAACCATGCCAGTCTTCTCCTTGTAGTCTAACATCAAAAATCTCCTAAGAGACGAAAGGAGGAAATAAACAAGGACTCAGAAGTACCCTCAACCAATCTTAATGGCATCTACGCACAAGCAACTCAAAATATTTTAATGCTTAATTCCTAGACATGAGAACGTGCCACTTACTTGCTCGTCGAGAGGCAAAGTGTGAGGGATGGTGACAGAGAGAGTGATTGCTGGTAACAACTCCCTTGTTCTCTTGGTAAGCTCCAAGATCTGCCACTCACAGAGGCAAACGGTGACTAAACGGTACACTTCCTTATATCAAGTGCATATGTAAAAAAATTCTGCTGGTAAACTAGTGGAATTAATAATCATTGAACCTGAGTTGAGAAAACAAGCAAATCTGCACAAGCTATCAAGCACAACAAAAATTACTTTATACAATTTAAACCAGGCTACGATATCAAAGGGGCCGCAAGGTTTACTAATAATTAAGAGAGAATTTTACCTCAGAAGCGGCGAAGACACGACCACTCTCGTAGAAAGAATCGTAGTTTCCTAGTTCGATCTGTGAGGAAACAAAATCAGAACATTTCAATCATATTCTTCGTACAGGTCAGAAGCTACACGAAGCAATCAAACTGTTCCCGGACCTCTTTGGGTATCACCAACATCTGCCCTCCATCATGTGAGTTTGAGGCAGAACTATACCATGTGTGCTCCTGCTTCGACTGCAGCAACAAAGTCCTCAGGAACAACTGATGAAACGCACACCTGTTCCCAAAAAAGTCCACAATTCAGTGGAACACAACAATGACAAGACATCAAAAATATAATGTGCGCCAGGGCCTTTCAAAGTTTTTATCTGATAGATGATACTTACCGGGAGACTAGTTAGGCTTGTTGCAAGCTTTACAAGCTCTGGGTCACAAGCAATATCAACATGTGTTGCTCCACCCTGAGGTCAATCAACAATACTTCCATGTCAATTTACTCGCAACCAAATTTCATCAAGGGGGGAACTCATGTTAAAAATGGTACGAAACACAATCTGATTGATCAAATTTACGACTGTCCACCTCAGACTACGTGATCTTCGAGAAGATAGATCCACAGCTTACCTTTTCTGCAGCAGTGACTACAGCTGCAACTATTTGGGCATCGAAGTTCTGGAGCCCCGCTATCACCTGCATAAGCCAGATTCAGTTTTAGTCTTACAACATTCATGTATAACGTCTTTGAGTTCGTCTAATGATTTACATTGCCACAGAGAAAGATATGAACATGCTGTTGTCAGTCCGTCAAAAGAAAAAATAATTCCGGCTGACAATGCATGCTCAACAACACCTTCTCCAACATGTAAACCCACAAGTACATCAAAGGTCATCAATAAAACGCACCAGACTCAACTAGAAACCAGCTCAAAACCCAGGAGATGTTAAAAAAGAGAAACAAAACCACACACATTCCCGTAAAGAATTACTCAGCGTCAAAAGGTACAACTCTTCAATGCACATATCAAGACAACTAAATCCTTTAACGCACTTCAACCATGAAAAGTTACCGCGGATAGATGGCATCAAGAACAAGAAAAAAGACAAAGAATTCCACGTAAGGTCTGCGCATCCCAAAAGCAAAGTACCCACATGCATCGTAAAAGAGGGCCAAGATAGGAATCCATCAACCATCACGATAAAAATCACCCAACCCAAAGTCACACACAATCCAACCGAACCCGCGCTTCAATTGGCACCAAACGAAAAACCCGACGGTGAGAGACAACTCCCAACGCCTGCTGCCTACCTTGAGAGCCCGCTTGGTTTGGAACCCACGAAGAGCGAATTGCCGAACAGCCTCCTGGGAATCAGACCCACCAGACCCAGCAGCAGCAGCCGCTTGCACCTTGAATGCAGTGCCGCCACTTACCAGCTTCACGGATTTCGCCTTGGGAGCTCCGAGGGCGAAGCTGGAGGACACCGACGCCGACCACGCTGTACCCACATTTCCTTCTACCAGTACGGGACTGACACACTTGGCGAGAGAGCCAATGGAGGACGCCATAGCCAGGAAAAAGGGTACAAAGGAGCTTGAATCTGCTACACAAGCTACACAACAACGAAGACTCAGAGCTTACAACAACAACAGCATCGAGACCAAAGCAAGGGGGTGAGCGTGATAATATCTATCATTCAAAGCTTCTGAAGAAGATTCGCTTTTGCCGTTTGCATCTGTCTGTTTGTGCCATGCAGGGCGATGTGCGGAATGTGGGATCCAGGCCCCGACGGGAAACTGGTGCCGCAGAGACGATAAGCTTTCTTCCTCCACCCCGCCCCATCACCGCGCCGCGGTGGTGGGGTTCTGGAGTCTATACCCGTCCGCTCCAAGGAGAAAGGCGTGCTAGAAAAAAGCAAAGGGATAAAGCGTATGCCTCGAGTTAAAGTAAAAGATTCGGTGTTGCGTCACTACAAAACAAAAGATGTCTCTTATCATTCTCTCCCCATTAGATTGATTGTCCATGATAGAAGCCCACTTTTGATGTTTCATGTGATGTTGTGGAATTTTTGTTACTTTGAAAAGATGTTTGAAATGGATTATTTTTTTGTTTCCATTTTGAAAGTGGTTGGAGATATTTGTTAGCTAAAGCAAAATAACAGCAATAATTAAGGGACATGGAAAACATTTTAACATTCATCAGGTTATGTAGTTTGCATCCTGGTACTTTCTTTTTTCTCTACTGGGTTGATCATCAGTTCCGCGTAAACTTTAAGTGACCTAACATTAAGACTATTTAAAAGGATTTTAGCTCGGATACTGTTGGATTATTATTATTAATAAAATAAAAATAATCTGTTTTCAAAAAGAAACGTATTCGTAAGTTTGGTATTGTTTGATCAAAAGTGAGTAGCATGTCACCGTATCTAACGGCAGGCCGAATGAGAACTATGAAGACCATCACTTACGTGGTTTGGATTAAACAGTCAGCTTTGCGTCCTGGATGTATCGATCGTAGTTTATGAATACTATCTAGGCCAAATTCCATGACGTATTTTATTCCGAGTGATGAATTTAGATGGGTAGAAATAATCAATAGAACTCGAAAAGATTCAGAAACTCCACTCCTCCAAGACTTGTCGTGTATACACGACATTTGTCATCCAGAATCTTCCAAGCTGAAACACAAAGACGTGTGGTTGTGCAATTTCTGAAATCCACTACGATATCACTGAGTTGAACAGAAAGTTTGAAAGACAATCGATTCTACATAAAGAGAAAGAGAGCTTTAGCTAATCATTACTAGACAAATGGAGTGAACGGAAGGAGAGATAAGAACAAAACAATGAGTACGAGCCTCATAGTAACACCAACTCAGATGTCTCTTAGAAATTGACGAAGATTTGCAAAAGAAAGAAAGAGGAATGATTCCAATCAGACCATCATGTTGAGGTTCACTATCAGAAAATGATTACATAATGACAGTACAATTTGAAGACTTCAAATTCCAAAACATGAAACTCTTTCCCTCAGCATTTCTCATTTCTTTCAAAAAACAGTTTCACTTAAGATTGAGCCTTGGCAGCCAATTTCTCCTTGGACTTCTGAATCTTCAGAACCTTCTTTACGATTTTCTGCTCCTCGACAAGGAATGCTCGAATGATGCTGAAACACGACAGTTCCATACGTTAGGGTCTGATCCAGAAACGATATTAAACGAATGATGTGGTGGCACTGTAATCAATTAAATGGAATACAATATTTCAACTGCATCAGACAGAATACAGAATGGATTCCACAAGCACAATGAAGAGATTGAGAACCACTACAGAAGAACCTAAACATAGTCATTTGACCAAGGACACTCCGGATAATCGGAAGTCATGGGTCAGATCACCACTGCGCTAAATTGACCAAAAGGAAATCCCCTGGGATGTAACATACCGCTCACGCACTGCAGACCCTGCCATGGTGCCACCATACGCGCGGTTCACAGTTTTCTTGTGCCGGTGAAGACGAGAAGTCTTATACTCCGTGGGTCTCAAGTGAGGAATCTACAGTAACAAAAGCTTACCTACATTAGAACAGTCCGTACAGTGTTCAGCACAGGAAAAAAAATACCGCAAAATTCAGTTAAAAAATTGGTATGGACTAACAATACTTGTAAGCATACATAAGCTGATGGCTCTCGCAGACGTCATCACTCACAGAATAGAGAAAAATCAATCACTAGATCAACTCATCCTACTGCAAGTCCCAACGACCAATCTGCATCATACCCAGAAACATAACCTTGAGGAATACAACCCATCACAAGAAAATCTCATAAACCTGAGCGTCAAACTAAGAGTTCATTGATCAAACCCTACAGTTACCAGAACAGCACCAAATGAAAGCAGCAGATATTGGACTCACCCCAGCAATGCGCTTCCCAGTTACTGGACACTTAGGTCCTCGAGCCCTCTTTGTGGCGGTTTGAAATACATTCTTACCACCTATATCCCACAAAACAACGCAAAGCTCAATCCAGACATCAACTCTCGATTGGTCCATAATAACGCCTCATCCCTTGCATTCAATTCACCGTAAAAAGCTTCGATGCGGGGTAAAACTCCTAAAACGTGCACTGGAAGAGAAGGGGGAGAGACTCTCACCAGGGGTCTTGACCACACGAGTCTGGTTGGATTTGGTGGCATAGCAGTGGCGCCGCCTGTAGGTCAAACGCTGCACCATGGTGTCACCCCACCCCACACAAAATAACCGATGCGAAGCTCCGTCACAGGCTGAGCAATGGCGCACCAGCTGAGCAAAAGCGCAAAGAGGGTTTCGGCGTCGCGGTGCTCTCCTCTCTATCGCCTCTTCCCATGCCCTAACTTCGTCCATCCATCGTCCGTTCGCCATTTTTCTGTTCATCCTTCGGATGAAGTGAACACCATCGAATTTGAATTCCCCCTGCCTTGACGTTTGTTACTGTGGTAAATTCGGAGACGTTTTTCTTACGATGGGAGTTACCATGTGGGTTGAAAGAATGGGTAAATTCTGATTGTGTATTACGAGGTTGAATTAGTTTTAAATATAGGTTTAGAAACATGAAGATGTTACACTGTTTAATGATTTTTTTTTATGTTGCAATCATAAAAAAAAAAAAAAAAGAAGTCAAACTACGTATAAATTAAATGTTGTTCTAATCAACTTCATGGATTGATTGAAAAAAAATTAAAAATTAAAAATTAAAAATGATTTTTTTTATAATAAAAATCATTTTTACTTTTCATGTGTTTCTTACTCTAATTTTTTAACATCATCAATTTAGTCAATGAATTTTTAGAAAGTGTTAGGACTTGAGGAATTGTCGTTGAAATATTATTGTCATAGTTAACAAAATTCAAATACATCATATCTTAAACATAGTTATAGTATGATACACTACATGCGTTGTGTCTTTGTAGAGGAATTATATTTGATGAACACAGTACGACACATAATTTTCTATGTTAGAATTGTTAAAGTAATGACAGTTAGATTTGTTAAGGTGTCATTTGTAATTTCAGTGTTCATTTTTAAAGAATAAAGTTGTTGATTTTAGCATAAAACCATAATCTTGGATTTCATAAGTCATTTGATTTAGTTCATTATTTTTATCAATATTTTCGGAAAAATATTTGTAGGATTGTGTTTTATAATCGTCAAAGATATATATGTATATATATATATATATATGTATATATATGTATATATATATATATATATATATATACATAGTTATACACTGTTTTTTTTTCAACATCCTACTATACTAATACATATACACACAATTATAATTATTGTATATAAATCTATACTAATTTATTATTTTCAATTAACAAAATGCACACAAATAATAAAATGTATAATGTCAAAAGTAATTGCTATGTAATGTATTGAATTTTTTCTTTTTTTCTTTACTAATTCAAATGTTACTTTATCAATTTTGATAAGAAAAAAAATAAAAATTCATATTAAATATGATTGATGTGCTATGTTTAATGTGCTAAACGTTCTAATATATATATATATATATATATATATATATTTATTTACATACACATATTCATATATCAAGACTAATGTTTTTATTAAAAAATTTAATTATAAAAGTTAGATTATCTGATTATTCAACAAATTAAATACATGGTAAATATATTTGTAAATATTTATTAATAATTCAATAAACCATATTGTGTTGGTGTTATTATGCAATTCTTTATAAACAAATAACTAAAGTTTCAAAATTTAGTTATTTGGTTAATATGATCATCTAAACAAGTTCTTTTGTGTTCTAATTATGTATAAACTATATTTTGACATTCTGAAGATGTTAATTGATGCGAATTATTGTTATAGTATGAAATCATGTAATTATGATATATTTTAATGTGAATCATTTGAGTATCTAGTTGTTAAATTACAACTAATAACCATGAAATTGAAAAACCACTTATTACATAAGGTTTCCTTTAGCATTAATCCATATTCATTGATTTTATTATTATCATTGTTATTACAATTATTGGAATGAAAGACTCTTGTTTTGGTCATAATATATCAATAAAAATTCATTGAGATATAATAAAGAACAAGATGACTTCAATTGATGCATTGTCACATGGTTAAATATATGGATATTTGGATAAATGAGCACAAACAACAATACAATATTCTTTCTTTAAATATTATTTAAAAATATATATATATATATATATATAATAAATAATACTTGATTTATGCTGATAAGATTCAATGTCAATAAGGCATATAATCTCAAGTTGATAGCACACAAAAAAATTATAAGTATACACATAAGATGAGCTTGCATGAACATGAAAGTCCATCACATCTTATTGCACCATTGTCCACATTATTTTTGTAATTTGTAGGACAAAAACAATTTAAGGTGTAAACATGATATTGACATGGTTCTAAGAATGAACATGTCTTAAGTTATGAGTTTTGTTGTTATATTTAGATACAATGAGCCATTATGCATGACAAGTACAAATAATTTTAACAAAAGTAGTATTGAATGCAATTGGTCATAATTAGACTTACAATCTAATTCCACTCAAAAGAGATACATGCACTTGCACAAACATGAAATTTATAATTTAAAGTTTAAATAAGATATCTACACATTGTTTATATAAAGATGGTTGTGAAATTTGCTAATATAACCTAATGAGACAATATTTGTTTGAAAATATACACCTAAATGGAAGCATACATACACACACCTTGTATATGTAATCAAAGATCTAAAATTTGAAAATAATGAACTCTAGATTGAAAAGTTTAATAAAGGATTACTAATACAGACTTTTGTATCCTTTTAAGCTTATTAAAAATATTTAGAAAGATACAAGAGTAATAGTAAGTAATACACATATACAAGAGTACTAGTAAGTCATACACACAAGAGGGTTTCTAAGGAGAGAAAGCTTCACACATAAAAATCTATTGATCTAGTTGTGTCTCGTATACAAGAAGAGAAAGGAGAGAGGATAAATAGTACTTCTCCACTAGATTCTAAATATTATAGCTATAGTATTTACTGTAGTCTATAGTAAATATTATAGAGAGTGTCGGTGTCACGGATGCAGAAATACAGGCTCGAGATCTAACAAGAAGTTCAAGAAGAATTGACAAAAACTAGATTAATCAGATGAATACAAGAACAATACCAGAGATGTGAGCTAGAACTCCAAGAGATGTGTTGTCGAGACTGAAGAACTCTTCAGCCTCGATTCCAATATATACTCCTATTTAGGAAGCTTCTCAAGCAACTTCTACCAACTAGGAAGCTTCTAGAAGGTTTCAGAGACTTGCTTCTAGAAGATTGTAGAAACTTGTCTCTAGAAGGTTCTAAGAACTATGTCCCTAACATCTTCTACCAACTAGGAAGCTTCTAGAAGGTTCTAGAACTTGTCTCTAGAAGGTTCTAATGACTATGTCCCTAACATCACCCCCTCCTTAAGCTTCAAGGTCTCTGAGAAATAATGTTGTTATTAATCAGTACCAATGCAAGAAAATGAAGATCTGTCGCATAACGTCTACTATGAACTCCAACTGTTGTTTACGAGGCAAGCGGTTCATTGGCTCTTAAAGCCAACGGTAGTGGCCCACGCCTTCGACTTTTGACCAAGCATGAACTTCCGTGTCCTCATTGTGAAATTGTCCTGCAAACATGCCTTTTGGCTGACCATCGTAAGCATGCTCGAATTCAAATACAATCACCAATGATCGGTTACTCGGTATCCTCCGTTGTTGTCGTGGTATACGTAATTCTTCATCTCGGGGTCGCCTTCGTCAGTTAGTTGGTTGAGATAATCTGACTGGCATAGTATCTATCTCTTGGCTATCCATATCAGAAGACCAAACTATGGCTACTGTAAAAATTCTACTTTATCTTGGAAAAAATAACTACATCAACTACGAATTTTGGTGGTGCTCTCCCCCTTTCTTATATTCTTGGGTGAGCAAGCTTCAGAAGGAAGCTATCATCGAACCATCTTAGGTTTATGAGGATGTTGTTGATGAAACTCCTATACCTTTTGGGGCGCATTGACAAGATTTTCAGCTGGCTCCCACGCTCACTCATTGATGTCGTAGCCGCACCAATGAATAAGATACTCGAACTTGCCCCACCTTCGTCGTGAATCCAACACCTTTTCAACCTCATATTCCTTGTGGTTCTCGATTTCAATACTAGGTGGCGGACATTGCACTCTTCCAAGAAAAGACGACTCTCGATAAGTCTTCAATAGAGAAACATGAAAGACTGGATGTACTTTCATAGAAGCCGGTAATTCCAGATAGTATGCCACTGGATTGATTTGCTTCTGGATGATAAATGGTCCCAATCTTCGATAGTCCAACTTATCACATGGTCGCTTCGTCTTGATATTCTGTCAAAGAAGCCATGTTATATCTCCAATTTTAAAAATAGGTGCTTGATTCCGAAATCTATCTGCACATGCCTTGTAGGATTCTTGAGCGGATTGCAATTGAAGCTTCAACGTATTTTGAAGCTCTGATAGTTGTTTTGTAAATCCTTCAACTGCTGGATTGTTATTTATTGACGGACTCAATAAATCAAGCTTCGGATGATACCCATAGTTGGAAAAGAATGGTATGTATTGAATCAACGCAAGGAGGGTGTTATTATATGCAAACTCGGCTAGCGACAGATATGCAGTCCAATTGTCTTGCTGGTATTTGATGCTGCATCGTAAGTATTGTTCTAAGACTTGATTCACCTGTTCCATTTGGCCGTCAATTTGAGGATGAAAAGCTGAAGAAAGCTTGATATCCACCTTCAGTATCTCAAAGAGAGATCTCCAAAACTTTGATACAAACTGGGTTCCTCAATCTGATACGATATCATTTGGTAGTCCATGATATTGATACATATTATCGAGAAAGAGCCTTGCTATGACTTCACTGAATGATGTCTTCTTGCAAGGGACAAAGTGTGTCATCTTTGTAATTCAATCTACCACGACAAAGATGTTGTCAAATGAGTTCGATGATGGCAAGTCCGTGATGAAGTCCATGGAAACTGAAGACCATGGTCTACGTGGAATCGGCAATGGCTGTAGGAGTTCATAAGGGCGATGCCGAGGATTCTTGGATCTTGAACAGATGCCGTAGGAGAGGACAAAATCTTTCACATCCTTCCACATTTGGGGCCACCAAAAATCTTGAGAAATAAGCTCCAAGGTCTTGTTGAATCCAAAATGTCCCACAATTGGAAAATCGTGGCGAGATTGAAGAACTCAGAGTCGTGTTGGTCCTTTTG